GCTGCCAATTATCAATTCAGGCCTACTGAATTCATAAATGACACTTGCCTCAGTTTTGTTTGACTTATTTTGTCTCCTATTGTTGTTTTCCTTGTGTTGTCATGTTCCTAGTGGTTGCTGTTTTCTTTCTGCCTGCCTCTAAGCCTGAATTTAGCATAGCACGACTTTTCCTGCCTCCCGGCTGTGCATGCATTAGACCATACTTTCAGCTCTCAAAACATGACAGTTTTTAGCTTGATTTTATAATTGGGTTATAAAACACTGTTAGAGACTGCAAACATGCTCAGTAAAAATATTGGGTGTGTAACAGACTCTTATTACAGCACACGTTCTGACACGTCAGAGCAGAAAAAGGATAATCAACAAAATGAAACTAAAATTATGCAATTTAAGACTGCTGGCTACTTGTGGTTCCAAAGGCATTTAAAAATAGAATGGGAGGCAGAGCCTTCAGGCTAAAGGTTATTCAGCAAGAAACACACCCTTCCTGATTTTGTTTGTTTTTTGCATATTTGTCACATTTAAATCACCAGAAATTGCATATCAGACAAAGATAATCTGAATAAATACAAAATAAAGGGAATAATTTACAAAGGGAAAGGCTGTACAAACCATTCTGGCCCTATCTGAAAAAGTAATGGTAATGGACTGATTCTTATATAGCGCTTTTCTACTTTCCCTGAGTACTCAACGCGCTCTATAGAACATGCTAAATTCACCCAGTCTAACTTTCTTAGTGCTTCCTAACTACCATTCATACTTCGATGAATGCATCGGAGAGCAATTTGGGGTTAGTATCTTCCCCAAGGATACTTGGCATGCAGAGGAGCCAGGGATCGAACCACTAACCTTCTAATCCGTAGATGACCTGCTCTACCTTCTAAACTACAGCCACCTCAATTGCCCACTCTTTCTAAATAATGAATTAACTCTGATTAACCTCTGTTTTTTTTTAAAGTTTAGTTAATTTTAATTGCCACAGCAAGGCCTCATTACTCCCAGAACTGTTGAAGACATCGCTTAAATAAAGCGTGTCTGGAAAAATTCTGGAAAGGGTTAATCAAAGTATTTCAAAGGCTAAAACCTGGAACAGAAGTGAACCTTTCCAGGAACCTACCAAATTATTTCAGTCCAGGAGGTCGCAAAAAACCCTTGTAGATGACGCTAAAGAGCTGCAGGCCTCACGTTCCACAGTCAAGCTCAGAGTTTATGATTCAAGAATAAGAAAGTGACTGTGCAAACATGCGATCCATAGGAATCTATGGATGCCTGGATATAAAGTTCCAAACACTTCTAACCAAAAAGAACACAAAGGCTCTTGACATCTTGATGATGCCCAAGGAAGGTTTTCACAAAGGCCAAGATAGAATTGAAAAGCTTTTTTCCCCTTTAATAAATGAAATGATAATTTAAAGAACTACATTTTGCATTTACATGGATATCTTGTCTAATATGAACATTTGCTTGATGATCTGAAAACATGTAAATGTGACAAATATCCAAATAAATAAATCAGGAAGAGGGCAAATACTTTTCAAAATCACTTTGACTGCATTGGCACAGGGTCATAAAACTAACACCAATCCAAATTTTACAATCAGTTTTAGGAAATCCTTCTGACATCTCTTGTCTGATTATATTATTACAATTAAAATGATATTTTATAATAATAAGCTAATGTTCAGTGCTACTGCACAGACCCTAATGGCTCTACAGGCTCACTACATAAAGAGGGAATTTTCATTTACCTTTATTTCTTACAGAAAGGCTTATGGTGTGTAATTATGTGCTTCCTGATAATTTAGAGGATGCTATCCATAACCAAACCAAAAGTAAAGGAAACATATGTCAGCAAAACCTGGAAAAAAATACACAAAAAATACAAGTCCTGACGTTTTTGCAAGAGTAACAGTAATCCAATCATATGCGTTCACACATCTACAGTATGGATTCATTACATGTAACATTCATTACATTGGAGTTGCTAAAAATAAAATGTTGTACTTTTAACAACAATATGACATCAGAAGTGCTCAAATATAGGGCTCAGGAAAAACAGCGTACCTGCCTAAAGATACACGAACAGCATGTTAACATGGATTTATTGTCTTTCCAGTTTCATATATATATATATATATATGTTTTGTATATGTTTTTGTTAAAATGTCTGCATCTAACACATAAATGTACTGAATTTCACACTTTGCTGATAAAGTGCATGGAAAGAGAGGTAGAACCTTCACAGATGAAGATGAATAGGTAGATTTATTATTGTTGCTCAGGGGATTCAGAATCATTGAGCAGGGTTGGTAAACTTGAAATCACACCACATAATCCCCTATAGCCAAATTTCTTGCATGAATGTGGTCTCGCTATTTTATTTAATTACATTTCTGTATCCACTGAATCTTTTACAAGTTAATATTAATTATATTTAGTTGCTTTGACCCTGTTGGTTGTTTGCTACGACTCTTCCTCTCTCTGGAGTCACACATTTGCACTTCCCTTTTTGGCACAATGCCTCTTATGCAAAGCTCAACTTTAAAACTCTAGCCTTAACCTACACCTGATCCTTAGACTCAATTTGAACTCTCACCCAGCTTTTTGAACCTCTGTCCGCAAGCGAGGACTGGGATGTTCTCGTTTTCCAAAAATATCCTCCGCCTCATGCTCAGAAACTCAAATCGGTCCTCACAAAGATGGACACACAAGTACACACACATACCATATGCCACAATTCTGGCATCATCCTTGGTAATAAACGGGACTAAATGGAGGCAAGGTTGAAGCGTAGGAGGGCTGGCTGAAGTGTGTCTTTGTGTATATATATGTGCATGTCTCCTAGCAACCAGTACCCTTCACTCTCAGTCTGCAGTGAGCCGACAGAACATTATCAAGCTGCAGATGCAACAGGTGCACTGTAAAACATGCTGCTGGAATGAGGTAGAGAAGACGTTATTTATTGTCATGATTAATTTCAAGTTAAAACAAATAGAATCCTTTAGTTTTAAAATTAAAATGAGCATATCTGCCTATTTTCTTTGAACCTGTCATCTATTTTCAAAATGTCACAAAAGAATTCCTACTGGATCAATTACTGAATGTCATTCGGTAATTGAGCTGTTAAGAGCATCATTACCTGGATTTGCTACAAATTCAAGTAAAATTCCCAACGATATCTGGCAACGTTAAGGTGTCATGCTGCATCACATCCTCTGCCCACCAGTCCAACACAGTGCTTTACTGTAAAGTGACCCCAGTCCAACAAGCTCACCTGTTTGTTCTGCACTAATATGTTGAGAGCTTGAATAACACAAAGTTAGTATACTTAACTTTGTTTTGCAGTGAGCAGTACTGAGCTGAACATTATGCTCACTTCTCTTCTGTAATGCTAGCTAGATGCTGAAGCATCGCAACCACAGCCTATGGACATCTTCACCAAAAATACTGTTCCAGCTCATTCCAGCCCAGTTAAACCCCTGAGCATAGAGCTATGAATGATGTATAAATTATATGGTTTTGCCTCTTTCATTACTTTACATGTGATAAGCCACCATGATGGATATGCCATCCCACCATTTAGGCTCAGTTTGATGTTCAAAGACATGCAGCGCTCTGAAATCGTCCTTCAAATGTGTTAAATAAAGAGCCTGTTTGGGAAATGTAAGGAGTTGAAAGTACTGATATTTAAAAATAAAGCTAAATACTGGAGTAAAGTGCAGATATCTGAAAATATTATTTCAGTACAGTACTAAAGTATTTGTACTTCCTTAATTCCCACCTCTGTATTCCAGCATGTGCATATTTAGTAGACCAGCTACTACTCACCACCTGATCCTGTTGTAATTTACCTCGAACTGTAATGTTTGTTTAACCCCGAACAAGTGATTTTGATGCCTAAGTAAGACTCACACACTACTCTA